ACCAGCAATTTACAAAGGTTCCAATTTCTCCACATCCTTGCCAACACTTGTTATTATCTGTCATTTTGATTATAACCATCCCAGTGGTTGTGTGGTGGTATCTCATCGTAGCTTTGATTTGCACTTCCCTGATGGCTAATGACGTTGAGCATCTTTTCAAATGCTTATCAGCAATTCATATATCTTCTTTGGAGCTATGTCCTTTCAGATCCTTTGCCCATTTTTAATTTACTTATTTATTTATTTTTAATCATTTTTGGGTTGTATGGCTTCTTTGTATATTCTAGATAATAAGTCCTTATCGAATATCTGATTTACAAAATTTCTTTTATTCTGTGTATTGTTTTTCCACTTTTTAAATTTATTTTTTAAGTTTGTTTGTTTGTTTGTTTGTTTATAGCACATGGAAGGGGCTGAGAAATCAGGAGAGAGAATCCCAAGCAGTCTCCCCACTGTCAGCATGGAGCTGGAGCCCGATGAGGGGCTGGAACTTATAAACCCGTGAGATCACGACCTGTGCCAAAACCAAGAGTCTGATGCTTTACTGACTGAGCCACCCAGGCACCCCTGTTTTTCCACTTTTTTGGTAATGTTCTTTGAAGCACAAAAGTTGTGTTTTTTTAAAATGTTATTTATTTTTGAGAGAGAGAGAGCACAAGTGAGGGAGAGGCAGGGAGAGGGGGACAAAGGATCCGAAGTGGGCTCTTCACTGGCAGCAGCCCCAATTTGGGGCTCAAACTCATAAACCCCAAGATCATGACCTGAGCTGAAGTCAAGTGCTCAACTGACTGAGCCACCCATGTGCCCTTGAAGCACAAATGTTTTTAAATTTAATGATGTCTGATTGATTTTTTAAATATAATTTCAGATCTTACATTGAGGTCTTTGGTTAACTTTGAGTTGATTCTTGTATACGGTGTGAGGTAGAGGTACAATTTAATTCTTTTGCATGTGGACATCAGGTTGTCCAGCATCATTTCTTAAAGTGGTTGTTTTTTTCCTATTGAATTATGTTGGTATCCTGATTTAAAAAAATCAGTTGATTGTAAATGTGAGGGTTTATTTCTGGACTCTCAGTTCTATTCTATTCTATATGTGTATCATTATGCTAGTACCACACTATCTTGAAGGTAACTGAATTTGAGCTGGGCCAAATTAACTGGATCTGAAATGTACAGTCACAGAGCTTCCTTATCTTTTCCTAGTGCTATAGAATTTTTAAGGTGCTTTCATACACATGATCTCACCCAAATCTTGCAGCAACTCAGAGAGTGTGGAAGCTCAGAAGGCTGAGTGGCATATCACCACCAGAAACAGTGGCAGTTCCAGGACCAAGTGACCAAGTGTTCTCATTACCCTGCCCCATCACCTCCTGGGTAAGTCCAGAAATTTGGGAGATGGAAAAAAGCATAGAGAAAAATTAGAGCAAAAATGATAGGAAGGGTGCAAAACAAACTGATTATAAATCTTGGGCTCATGATCAGCTTATGATAAAATTTCTCTTCTCCTGTATGGACAAGAAATGGAATGTTCTGGGTAACCCAGGGTTTTGCTTTGGTCTTTGCTTTTTCAAAGAATGAAAACACAGTGAAATACTCTCAACATTAAAACCTCATGCACTGTAATTTGATCTTTAATTTTGTTGTTGTTGTCAAGTTAAAAGACTCTTCAATCTGTTTTAGAGCAATGTTTCTTCAAGAGCGGTCTGAAGAAAAACCTCAGCTATCGGCATCATCTGATCTCTACCAGATGCATTTAAAAAATGCATTTTTCAGAACTCCTATCCACCCTGTGTCTACTGAAAATCACTGGGTGATCTTTTACGCACATTAGGGTTTGGGACCTGCTGTTTTAAAGCAATGAAAGTCAAATTGTGAATATCAATTACTGTCGCACTCAAGAGATGCAGACATTTTGCTTAAATGAGAGTTCTGGATCATACAGGAGATTAATGTACCTTATTTCTTTCAAGTCTTTGCCAAAACATCACCCCTCCCTATTTACTGATTTAAAATTGTTTATCACCCTCTTCTTCACACCTCCTGCTCTTCTTATCCCCTTTCCTTCTCCACAGCACTTACCAACATCTGACATATTATCTATCTATCATCTATCTATCTATCTATCTATCTATCATCTATCATCTATCTATTATCTGACTCTTGTCTCTAGAAAGAACGTTTCACAAAGGTAGTGGTAGGAATATAGCACTCAAGACAATGTCAGGCAGGTAGCAGGTGTTCAATAAATATTTGTAGAATAAGTGAATGTGCCAAGTTGCATCTTAATGCTTGGGCATAATGTCATGTGTCCCTTGGCTTTCTGGAAAGGTTTTTGTTTGTTTGTTTGTTTTAAACTAGAAAGCAAATTATTCTTTCATTCTTTGAGTGATGCGTAGTAGTGGAGAGAAAAAGCTGGAACAGCACCCTCTAATCTCCTAATTCTGGAGTCTGGGCCAGTTGCTCTAAAGATCATTTTTCCTTAATACCACTGAGATCCTCAATTTACTACAAGGATCATGCATTTACAGCTGCATTGTCCTGTGAGGGCTACCCCTACTGTGAACAAAGTGGACGGAAGCAGCGAGGCTGAGATGAACCTACGGTAGGAGGAGACTTCTATAAGTCCACCCCACACGTTCCAGTGCCTCAAACCAGGTAGTGACAAGTACATACTGCCTCCTTTGAGGACCTGAAGGAGGGCACTAATAAGTGGATCCTATCTCAATGTACTACTTACGGAGGCTTGGCTGGCTCTAAATAAATGACCCTTACCTATTTCCTACCCCGCTCCCCAAGCCACCTGTCCAACAGCATCAGCACACAAATCAATTCTCACTTGGGCTCCTTCCCTCGCCCTGCACCTCCCCATTGGCCCCATTTTACACACAAGGAACCGAAGTTTAGACTAGGAATAGCCAGTTCCCTGACACCGGATTTTCCACCTGCTGACCTTCATCTGTGTCACTCTCAGAACACACCAGATAGTCCAATTTGGATTGAGATGGTGAGAAAAACCTGTGTGAGCTGCTCCCTACCCCCCCAGTCCAGGGGATGCTGAGAAACTGTGGGGTGAGTAGGACAATAAAAACAGGAAAAAGCAAGTTTGTTTCTAGTGTTATGCGCCCAGGGTGGCAGGATATACCTGCTGAGTGTTCCCAGAAGGTCCCCAAGGAAACCATTAACTTGAGTCTCTCACGTTCTTGTACGCGCGGTGGTTGGGGTGGGCGGGAGGGAAGGTGTACTGAGAGGAGGGGGATGGGCACCTTTTCAGAGGTCAAGGTTATGCCGCCCAGAACTGCTGCACACATTAATAAAATGTGGCGGACTGAAGGATGGATGTCAAGGTGAGCAGCACGGGGCTTGCCATCGAGTGTTGTCACTGGGTTATACGGGGTGGATTTAAGGTGGGGAAGGGGGCAGGACTGGGAGGTGAGTTGGGAGGGAGGGGCTGGTGTGGCACTGAGATCCCCAGCAGGGATGGGGATGTGGGGGGAGTGGCTGTCTTAGCCTCCAGCTTTGACCCTTTCTTGGCTGGTCTCAGCCAGGGAATTGAGAGGAGATGGATGTGGTGAGGTGGGGTTAGGGAGGGTGGCCCCTGGCTCCGCGGGTGATCTGGAATGGATGTTAGAGTTCCCTGGCTGGAGGGAGGTAGTTTTCGGGGAGGGTGAGGTGGCTCCCAGGAGCGTTAGGCGAAAGTGAGGGAGGGGATCTCAGAGACCCGGAGATGGAGGCGTAGGGAGGAGAAAGGAGAAGTGAAGGCGGTTGCCTGCATGGGGAGTAAATCTCAAACTGAGGCGGACTGAGAGAAGTAACTCCGAACGCAGTGGGTAGGCGGCTTAGGTTCTTCCAATCCGATGGGGTTGGGCTTAGAACTCTGCAAAAGAAGGGGGTCATTGGGAGGGGACGGTGCACAGCTGCGCCGGCGGCCTCCTAAACTGGAAACGGGAGGTTCCAGGCGGCACTGACCCTCTCCCCCAGCCTCGGTGGGGAGGGCCGGTGAGTGTCCGGACCCGGCTTTCCCGAATCCAGACGGAAGTCTGAGTAGGGCTGACAAGTGAGCCAGGAGTGAGAGAAACAGTGAAGACTCCTCACACTGGGGGTGCGGGTGGCAGGAAACAGAGAACCCGGGCTTGGGTCAGGGGGGTTCCTCAACAGACCACACAGAAAGGATGTGGGGGAGTCGAAGGGGACAGCAAGGGCTGAGAAGGGATTCGGGGAACTGATACGGTTGCCACTGGGGTGCTGATGGAGGATCCCCACGCAGGACGCGAGGCATTGAAAGGGGTCCCCAATTTGGATATAGAGGGTATGGGACACTGAGGGTGGACTGAGGGCCGCTGAGGGGGAGCCCTGAATCAGCCTCGGAGGAAACTGGGGGCCTTGGGGGCAGCTTCTCGTTCCCACTGGGGGGATGGAGGGCTTCTCCCTAGCTGGAACACGAAGGGTGGGGGGCACTGGGGCGATCTCCCTCCCAACCCAGGGATATTGGGGAGCTCTTAAATTCTGGATAGCGGGGACCTGAGAGGGAGGACTAGAGGTCCCGATCCGACCGAGCACGCCAATTTTTTTGGAAGGCAGCCCCGGAAGGCTTCATTCCCCGGGAGGGCGTTCCCACGGCCCGGCCCCGCGCTGGGCTGGGTGGGGGGTGCGGCCGCGCCCTGGTCCCGGCCCGCCTCGGGATTCGGGGTCTCTCGCGCCCTCAGGGACCCGGGAGCCCGGCGGGAGCGGGGTCCGGACGCCGCCGCCTCCGCGGGCGCGCGGGGCGAGGGTTTGAGCGCGGAGACATGCGCAGGGCGACGGGGAGGAGCCGGCAGGTCATTTTGCCTCGGCGGGCCCTCGGCCGTCCCCGCCCGCCCGCCCGAGCGGGGTCGGGGGGGAGGGGCAGCATGGCCTGTCCGTCCGGCCCCTTCGCCGCGCTCCTCATCTGCCCCGCGCCGAGCGCTGCTGCCGCCGCCGCCGCCGCCGCCGCTCCAGCCTGCGCGCTGCCCGCGGCTCCCGATGGAGACTGACGCCCCAGCCCGGCCTCGCCTCCCGGACTCGCCACGACCCCTGGTACGGCCCGGCCCGGCCCGGCCCGGTTCGCTCACGCCTGCGCCCGCCCTGGCCCCGCCAACATGGCCGATCCGGGTGGGAGCCGGGGTTGGCCTCCCCGGGGCCTGGGCCTGCCTGCCTCCCTGGCGCCCGGCGCTCATGGGCCCTTTGTGGCTTCTCCTCCTCCCGCAGCAAAAGATGTTCATCGGGGACTCAGTTGGCAGACTACGCAGGGTGAGCGAGCCCGGAGCGCCAGCCGGCCAGGCAGGGCACCCTGGACCCCCGGCGCCCCGGAACCGGACACCCAGCCCGGCCCTGCGCCCTGCTGACCCCCTGGGCGCCCCTGCGCGCCCTCAGCCCCGCCCGGGGACCCCAAGAGCTGGGGCGATCGGAGATGCGCACGGCCCAGCGGGTGGAGGGGAGAGATGAGGGTTCAGGGGCATCGGGGTGGGCTGGGCCCCCGGACCCGCCGGCGGCAGCGCCAACTCATCTGCCTGCACCTGCGGCTCAAGCTTTGTGAGGCGGCTCCCGGAGCAGGAACCCGGCCGAGCCGTCCCCTCCAGCCCAGCTCGGCCTCGTCTTCCTGGGAGCCCCGGCGTGCCAGGAGGCTCCACGGGAGCCGGGCTTGGAGGGTCAAGGTGGGGGGGGGGGCAGTGGAGAGTGCGCAGGCTGCTCGGCGCGGGGCAGCCGGGCCGTGGCGGGGTCCTGGGGGAAAGGACGGGGGAGGGGGGAGGGCGCGGGGCCTGAGCTGGTCCGAAGGCGGGTGTGTGGTTACAGAAGGGCTGCGTGAATACTTCGGCCAGTTCGGGGAGGTGAAGGAGTGTCTGGTGATGCGGGACCCTCTGACCAAGAGATCCAGGTGAGCCCCTCACCCCCTCCTCCTGTCTGTCACCCCACCGCCACTGTCTTGTAACCATCTGCCTCTCCCTCACTACGGGGCGCAGGGGTTTCGGCTTCGTCACTTTCATGGACCAGGCGGGGGGTGGATAAGGTGCTGGCGCAATCGCGGCACGAGCTCGACTCCAAAACAGTGAGTGGCCCTCAGGGCTTCGGGGGTCCTTTGGGAGAGGGAGGCCGCCGGAGGAGAGGGTCAGGTCTCTCCCCAGGGGACAGTTGGACGGGGTCCTTAAGGAAAGAGGGAGTTTTCTGAGTAGAAGGGCTGCCAAGCTCTGAAACTTTGTCACTAGAGTCGGGGGGGGGGGGAGAGGAGGAGAAAAACCCCAGGCCTGCGGTGAGATGCTACATCCCCCAGCCCCTCCCTGTACCTACTAATCTTGATGCCTCACAGAGCAGCTTGGGGTGGGGCTAGGTCCCTCCCCTAGCCCAAATTGGGTGAGTCAGGGTTGCAGTGACCCACCCCGTGGCTTCTCTGGACTCTAACTAGTATTTGGCTCCCCACCACCACCGATCCGAACCAATGGCAAAGCATCACTGAATCCCCCCTCCCTCTCCCCCCCACTCCTTTGGTCTATGAGCTCCCCGCTTTGTGTGGAAGACGTGAACCTGCTTTGCCCAGGAAGGGATTTATGAGGAGGGAACTGGCTTGCCTGGAAACAACCCTTCTGAGGGCTGGATTTGAGGAGAAGCTGCTTTTTTGGCATTCAAACTCCTAAAACATTTTACTGCTGTCCCACTGCTCCCCAATGTCTTGGGCCCTCCAGGGGGCGCTGGCCCAGGCCCCTGCTCTAGGGGAGAAGGAAAAGGAGGAAGTCCGAGGAGGGGTTACTCTGTGATGGGGTGACCCGAGGCCAGGGGACCGGGACAGTGTGATCTCTCTCCACACTCCCCGACTGTCCTCCAGCCCTGGGCCTCCCTGTGCTTGGGTCAGTCACTGGCTCCTGTTTACCTGCAACAATAGCTGGTTGTGCCCAAGAATTTGCTAAATTACCGCCTGTCCCCAGCTCCTGTTATCTCTGCCCCGTGGCTCCCACTCCTGCTTGCAGTAATGAGCAAATGAGGCCAGGCCTCAACTTTGCCGGCTCTGAAAGGATCTTCTTGGCGCAGACTGAGTGACCCAAGCTGGGAATGGAGAGACAGTGGCCTATTGTTTTTGGTGATTATCTGCCATCAAGCTGCCAGTTCTCCTACCATCCCCTGTCCTCAGAATGCACTGGTGGCTTCTGCAGCGCTCAGGAAGCTGAGATTTAGGGACTGGGTCTGGGGGCAGGGTGGGGTCATGGAAGACTGATAAGAGAGAAGGGGGAAGGAGGGTGTGATGGGCATCCTTCTGAGGTTTGGGACTCAAAAAGGCAAGGGCTTTGTGTTTGGCATTCTCTGGCCTGGGAGAGAGGGGTGGGGAGGGAGGTTTATTGTGGGGAGTCTATTTTGGGTTCTGACTTTCACCTTTTATTTACTTGTTGGGTTTTATTTATGTTGCCAGCTGTGAGTCAGAGTGGAGGTGGGGTGTGTCAGGGATCGGGTGTGCGTAGGTCTGTGAGACGTGGCTTGGGTACCATCTCCCCATCAGGGTCTGTACAGGGGGACTGTTTGAGGTGCTCTGGTGGCTGGGGAGGCTGCTTCCAGGAGAAAAAGAAGGATGAAAATGTCCGTAGAGGTATGAAATCACACCTGCAGACAGGGGAAATGGGCAGTTGTGATTTTCCCTGGAGCTCAGTGGAACTTTGGGAGAGAGACGGCATTGCCCCAGCATGGATTTTAGAGGCTCCTTCTCTGTGGGCAAATCCACTGGAGAGCCCAGAGGAGGCTGGTCCCTGGTTCATGCCATTCAGGCAGAGAGGAACCAGAGCCGGTTGCTTAGAACGAGGCTGAGTTTTGAACAGAAGGAACTTTGGGAAAAGATAGATCTTCCCTGCGATTGGCTGGTGAACTTCTGAGTGGTATCCACCCATGTGGGTGGCAAGAAGCTCTGGAATGACCAGGCCCCATAGGTCCTGCCTTGATCACAATGTCTTGTGGCCTGGCTTCTGCTGTTTATCAGTGTGAGTACATACCCAGGAGCACCCAGGTGCATCTTGCTTTTCTCCTTTGGTTGTTCACAGCCAAGGGCAAAGGTGGCCCGCTGGTAATAGCACCTTTGTTTGCGCAATGAAGGGCAGTTCACAAAGGGCCGCTTTCACCCATGTTATCTCATTTGATTCCCTATGGCTGCCCCTGGGAAAAGTGGGTGTGATTATCCCCACTTTGCAGATGAGGGAACTGAGGCTCAGAGGGGTGAGCAAGTTACCAAGATCACAGGCTTGGCCGGGGCTCAAAGTTTCTGACTGAGTCCAAGTCCCGTGCCCTTGTGCGTCACCAAAGCCTGCGTTCTGATTCACCCCAAGCCTGGCTGCATTATCAGGGAGCTGTTTGCTTGCAGCCTCGAAGAAGGCTGTTAGATGTCAGTAGTATTGGGGAAACAGAACTGAGTCCATTCCTGGTGATTTATGAACTCTTCTCTTGAACCAAAGAGTATTTCCACCCACTAGGCTTCCAAAGCCTCACCTAGACTGGTATCATCTGTGTGAAGTCGGTTAGGTGAGGAAGGCCCTTGAATACCTGGTGCTTGAAGAAGTAAGACTTTGCTTACTTTGTTGGGGTTCCTGCTGTGAGCTAGACACCTTGCCAGGTGCTTTGTAAGCATGATCTCAAGTAGTCTGCAGACGACCCCTTTGAGGTGGGTGTTACTATTTGTCCATTTTGCAGGTGAGCTTGGCCCTGAGGCTCAGAGAGGTTAAGTAACTTGCCCAACGTCTCACAGCTGGGAAACAGTGTAAGTGGGATTTGAACCCAGGAGCCTGGCACTGGGGCCTAAGTGTTTAACGACTACACTTTTCTGCCAGAGGCTGTGGTGATTTCTGTCCTGTGTCATCTCTGTGTCCTGGGATGAGAGAAGTCCACAGGGCTGAAGGCTGTGTGGTCACCCGTCTAAACTGTGATAACCAAGCCCCTTTACCTCTCCCTTCTCTTTCAGATTGATCCCAAGGTGGCCTTTCCTCGGCGAGCACAGCCTAAGGTAGGTATGTCCATGTCTGGGAGGAGCTGTGTTACTATGGGCAGTGATTTTCCCAGCATTCTCTCCTATGGGAGATGCTTCTGGAACCTTCATTTGGAGTGTTATGGGAATAGACTGGGATGGGAGGAGGGAGGATTCTTAATGTCCTTCACTCTGTGGATTGAAGACATCCTGCATCTTTCCATCTGTGCTCAGGGGTGGACTGGGAGGGGGCTGCATGTGTTGGGAGAAGGAGGAACCCCTCAGGGGATTCATTGTCCTGTATTTGAAGCCAGTACACTGTGGACCCTGAGTCGAATTCTGACCTCATAGATCACAGCCTCTAAACCCAATGCCCCTGGGGAGGTCAAACCCAGGACAAACACCCCCTGAGGCTTAGCTAGAGTCAGGCCAGGGAGCTATCTCTGACTCCCCCTCCCCATCACCTTTCTATCTCTGGGGGTTCGGTGTGTTCAGCTTGCAGAGGGGGAAGGGACCATGAGGTTGGTAACCTGTTGTCTTTCAACTCGGGTGAGTGGCTGCCCTCCCCGTGCTTTCTTTACCTAGTGCTGTGGCGAGTTCTTTTGGGTGTATGGAAAACAGAATTCTGAGCAGTTGAGCAATATAGCATTCAAAACTTTTGGTGCAGGGTAAGGGCCCAAGATTTTATTCCAGGTCCCAAGGCAACTAGCCAGATCTTAATTTTTAAATGGCTAAATATAGGGGACAGGAAGGAAGGCTGATTACAGTACAGGGAGCCAAGGACCCCTGAGTCTGCTGACTTAACTTGTGTCCTAGGACTAGGTTCCTCTCCAGAAGATCTCAGTTTCCCCATTTACAAGGGGGTTGGCAGGAGCCAGGATGCTGCCCAGCTCCTGTCACAGCGAAGGAAGAGGGACAGGTTTTAGGAGACAGGAAGGGGACATCTCTGGAAGGGTCCAGCAGAGGGCCTGAAAGCAATTATGGAGCAGGTATTCGAAGGAAGCCGCACCAGGGAGCACATGGTCGGAATTGGGTTAATTCCATTAAGCAGTTTGGTGACAGAAGGTGCTTTAGTGTTAGGATGGGGCTGGGAATTGCTGTGGATTAGCCATGCGCTCCTGGGGTAATTAGGACCATGTGTTCTTCCTAAAACAGGGCTGGGGCCACAGGGCTGCCGGAGGTTGGGTTGGGAGGAGGTTGATGAGGAAAATGTCGGCATTGAGTTCAGGGGAACCCTGTGATGGGCCTCAGTCTCTCCCAGGGGTGCTGGTGGGGTCTCTGAGTTACACTGTGGGTCTGGGTCACTAACCCGTCCCCTTGGTTCTTACAGAAGGCATTTTCCCCTACACAGACTCCAGGGAGGGAGGCACACTCAAGTCAGCCAGGGTGTGGGGTGCACAGCTGCCCATGACAGGCCTAGAGGCGGGGGTCCAAGGGGGAGCTCGTTGGGCGGGGGCTTCCGAGTCGCTAGGGCCACAGAGAGCTTGTCAGCTGGCGCCCTGGCAGGAGGGCTCGAGCCCCTGCTGGTGGCAGTAGGCCACAGGACTCAGATGCCCACTTTCTCATTCCCTCCCCCTAACAGATGGTGACTCGAACGAAGAAGATCTTTGTGGGGGGGCTATCAGTGAACACCACGGTGGAAGATGTGAAGCAGTATTTTGAGCAGTTCGGGAAGGTGGGTCAAAACTGGGGGTGCCTGCTGGGGGTGCTTTCGGGGGCTGTGGAAGCCCTGTAGAATTGGTCAGTATCAAGCAGAGTCCAGCCAGGTCATTCCAGTCCCTGCAAAAGGGGAAGAGGCGGCCGGGTCCTTTTTGTGGGTGAGCCCAGGCCAACCCACAGTCCAGGCATCTGTCCTATCTGTGGGCCTCAGCCTCTGGATGCATCCCCAGGGAGAGAAGCCACATAGTAGCTGTCTCTGTGGTTGCCCTTCCCCTGTGTTTTTCTCTTGCTTATCTTCATTCTCCCAAGGGAGGCTGCTCTCCCCTAGCCAGTTCAATCCAGTCACCCCTTGGCCTCCTGGGAGTTTGCACCTGTCCAGGCCACGGGCGGTTGCACCTTCCCCCACTCCTTCCTGGTAAGGATGATAAGGAGGCAATAAATACGACTCCCAATTACACTCAGCACCCTGCTTGCACAGGTGGGAGCTGGGGGAGGTGCTGATCCCGTAGCTATTTGGAGGGAGACTGAGGAGAGCACCCTAAATTTCTGATCAGGCCCAGCAGATTGGCTCTCAGCTCTGAGGTGCATTGAGCTTAAATTTCTGGATCGTTTAGTTTACGAAGGAGATGTGGCATCATCAGACAATAGGGTGTCCCCAGAAAGGTGAGTAATGTGAACATCAAGGTCCCATGGGGATATGACCAAGAGGGGGCCAAGTTTTAAGTCTAGGGGTGAAGGGGGGCTGCTGTGCTTAGTGTCAGGGTCCCTGGTCTTCTCTTACATGAGATGGGCTACGGGCTGTGTCTCTACCTTGCCATCAAGGCATTTTTCAGTTGCCTGTTAGGCAAAGGGCAGAGGAGAACCGCCCCTTGGAAATGGGATGTGAGCTAGGAACTGGGTGGGTTTCCAGGGCCCGGTCTCCAGGGGAGAAGGGGAGAGGGTGGGAAGCCCCCTGGCCAGCGGATGCTGCAGGCGTGGGGGCCACAGGCCTAGGCTCAGGCGCCTCCGTGGGGACCGGGGTACAGGACTGAGGGCAGGTCGGCGGCCTGGGCCCCAGAGGGAAGGGCGCTCCTGGGAAGCAGCAGGCCCGCTCGGCTCCGGCGGGGTGTCTTTGTGTCTGAGCGCCGAGCATTAGAGCTCGCACTAATCTGATCCAGCAGCTGTGATTGGAGGCCGCCTGCCCCCGGGGCCGGCGTTGCCATGGCAACCGGGCCCCAGGAGAAGCCGTCAGCGGCCGCGTCTTTTGTTCGGGCCTAAATCGGCGTTGGCATGTGAAACCGGCCCGGGGAGGCCAGGGGGAGCCGGAGAATAGGCTGCCAGGGAGCGAGGGGGACAGCCGGGAATGCCAAGGGCCCCGCGGCGGGGGGCCCCCCGCCCGGATCGAGGGGCCGCCGCCGAGGGGGGAACAATGGTCAGCCGCCATGGCTGCCACTCAGGCTTAGCGGCCGCCGAACTTGGCGGCTCCCACTGGTCAGCAGGCCTCGGCCGCCTCCCCTCCCCCTGCCGGAGCCCCCCTGCCCCCGGGTTCCCATGGAGACCAAAGCCTATTAAGGACACTGGGCTGGGAGCCTCCCTCCCCTCAGCTGGCCCCAGGAGGGGACACCAGTGGGGGTCCCTGGACCCCCAGCCACTTTCCTTGCTCCTTGCCCTGGCCTCAACCCCACTGCCCCACTAGGGGTCTGTCCAGCCAAGGCCCGAGTTGAAGGTTCTAGGGGGCCAGGAGTGGTGGAGTTGGAAGTTGGGTGGAGGAAGGTGAGAAGGGCAGTGGATTTGGGCTAAATCAGTTTGTGGGTCAGGCAGGAACTCAAAGCTGTGGGATTAGGGAAGAGGGTGTGGCTTTTACTCATTCATTAATTCAAAAAATAATTACTGAGCACAAGTCAGGGTGCTCCATAGGATGGTCATCACCATAACTGACACATACTGTCCTCATGGTACCTTCAAAGCAAGGGGTGTTGGGCTGCTTGCTCTCTTGCTTTGCTTCTCCCCTATGTGACTGTAGGCAAGCCCCTCCATAATAAAGGTAATAATAGCTGTTATTTATTAAGCATTTACTGCAACCAGGTACTGTGAGTTAGTGTTACAGTGCTGTCATTTAACTCCTCCATACAATTGATAAACACCGTTATGCCCACTTTACAGATGAGGTAACCTGAATATGGAGACATAAAGCCACCAGCCCAAGGTTCCCCAACCAGCAAATGTAGGATCTTGGGTTCCATTCCAGCCTGTCCTACTTAAAGCCTGTATTTTTATCACAACTCTCTCTCCTTTTTGGATTTCTCTCTTCTATTGTTTAAGCAAGGGGGTGGGGAAGATGTGCTGAGCCCAAAGTGTCTGCGCAGTTTGGACAGTGAGGCTGGTTTGGGATTGGGACTCAGCATGCATCCATAAGGGTGGGAGTGAGAATGGCACTCCGCTGCAGGCCCCTGGAGCAGAAAGCTTTTTGGGAGGGAGGTGTCATTTCCCTTTGAGATTCTCCAGGGGCCCAGGAGCCTCCTGGCTTCGTGGGGTCCTGGTTCTCCCAGAGGGACTTCGGAGGCCTGGTGTGGCTTGGCGCCTAAGGAGAGCTAGAGGACCACCCTGTTCAGGGGCTGCCCTTGCCACTTAAGCAAGGAAGATGACAGGCTGGAAAGAGAGCCACGGAGAGTCGAGTCGGAGAGAGACTGTACCCCATGGCTTCAGGAAGTTTTCCTTCATCCCTCGGGTGGGTGATCATTTGGGGGAAGGTCAGCAGCTGAAGTGGGCTGTGTGTGTGGGTGGGGGGAGGGTATCAGAAGCAGCCCTTGATTTCCACCAAGGACAAATCAGACCTTAGCTTAACCCCATGAGGTGGCTGACATTGGCTGAAGAATTAAGAGGACAGGGGGGAAGCACCAGATGTAGGCAAAGGGAGGGAGATGGGACTGTGGGAGGGAAGCTCAGGCCTTTGGCTATCCATGTATCCAAGGGATTGCCTTGAGGGAGCAACAAGAAGAGGAGACTGAGGTGCAAGGGACTGGGAATCATGTAGACCATCCCCTTTCCTCAGCCCCCTGCCCCTCCCCCAGTCAGTGGGAGGCAAGCAGCCCAGGCACTGAACTCTACTTGCTTTAATTACAGCCTCTAGCAAAAGGAAACCTCAATTAAAGGAAAAGATCTGTACCGGGAGAGGGGAGTCAAGTCTGGCTGGAGTGGCTGCTGTCCTCCTGGCCTTTTGCAGAAAGGGAAGAGGCTTTCATTTCCCCGTTTTTATCTTGCTCCCATGTTTCCTTCTTTAGCACCCACTCCGTGCCTCCTTCTTCCAGGCTTGGTCTAGGATTTGCTGTGTGACCTTGGGCAGGTGACTTCACCTCTCTGAGCCCATTTCCTTATCTACAAAATGAGGATCTTACATTGCAGGGACTGTAGAGAGTCTGATGGGGCAAAGTGTCAGGCAGGTATTTGGTGTTTCGTATTTGCAGGCCGATCCTTTGAGAATCTGGTGGTTGAATGGGAGGTGCCTTGGCATCCAGTTGGGGGGTGTGGATGGAAAGTGGTCCCCTGCGCAGGGAACAGGTTTAAGATAAAGCCTAGCCTGGGCAAGAGGGGAGTGGGTGTGGGAACCCCTCCTGCTGGGTTGTGGCAGATCCCCTGGTATCTGGTGGGTCCACCATGGCAGGCTCTGTTTCAGGTGGACGATGCCATGTTGATGTTTGACAAAACCACCAACCGGCACCGAGGTGAGTATGGCCCCCTCCCCCTTTCCAGGCCAGGCTGGGGGCCTGTGGTCAGCCAGGGGGCTGCAGGTCACAGCTGCCCTTTCATCTTGCCTCCTGACATCCTATCCCCAAGGATCTGCATCCTCTCCCGGGCCTGGCCTTACAGAAGGCTTTTGTCCCGCCGTTTCCTGTGCTAGAAACTTGCCCAATTGCAGACACCCGAGAGGAGCAGAGGAGCAACCTCCCCCCTTCCAAACTGAGTCCTCCACCCCCGCCCCAGCCAGTGTCTGCCCAGCCAGTGTCTGCTGGGCTTACCTTGTCCCTGGTAACCAGAGCTTAGGCTGGGCAGCCCCAGGGTCAGGCCGACTCCACAGCCCTGGGCGGTCTGCTCCTGCTCCTGTCTCCCACCCCCACCCATGAGCTGAGCCCAGCTCCCGACCCTCCCCCCCCCCCCCCCCCCCAACCTGTGAGCATCTGGGCCACAGTGTGCATTGCCTGGTTGTTTTTCTCCCAAGGGCCTTGCCTTCTGAGAAATCCCATTACAACCCCTGGGGCCTCCCCAGGAGGAGGTGGGGTTGTTTCTCTGGTTGCTCTGGGGCTTTGGGTGTATTAGCCTGTTTGGGGATTGAGGTATGTGCTGGTGTGTGTGTGTATGTTGTACGTTTGTACCTGTGCGTGTGAGGGTGTCTACGTCTGAATATTTATATGTGTCTGGTTTGTCATGATAACTATCCACATGTAGGGGGGCCTTCGTGAGCACTGCCGAGTATTTGTGGGGCAGATGGGTACCGAGGTATACGTGTGTGTGTGCACCTCTATGTCATGTATATGTGTGACTGTACAAACATATGTTTGGGTGTGCACACTTTTGTGGAAATGTAAATAAGTGTTTGTGTGTGTTCTTTCTTCCTTCTTCGGAAAGCACCTGAGAAAGAAAAGGCATGCTGAGTGTATTTTCATCACTGCTATAATGTTTTCTAATTTGCTGTGTGACCTCGGGCAAGTCACTTCACTTTGCTGAGCCTTGGCTTTCGAGTGTGTAATTGGGGAGCTAGGAATCCTGTCTCAGCGGGTGGGTAGTTGAGAGGTTCCCAGGCTTTTGTTAACTCTCAGGAATTTGGCCTGTGAGAGCAGTGGTAGTGTTGATATGACTCAGGCTGGGTTTTGACCACAAACCCTGTTTTTGTCCCTGCCTTTGCCCTCTAGGGTTCGGGTTTGTCACATTTGAGAGTGAGGACATCGTGGAGAAAGTGTGTGAGATCCACTTCCATGAAATCAACAACAAAATGGTGAGGGGGGATTGGATGGGTGGAGGTGCAGAGAGGAGACGGGATGCTCGGAGGTTCTGGAGGCAGGCAGAGGGGCCTCACGGTCAGTGGGGCACAGCCAGCTCTCCCACCCTCTGAAAATCTGGACAGGAAGCCAGTGTCTCATGGTGGTTAAAAAGCACGGCTGGTGGAGTCAGAGAGACCTGGATTAACATCCTCACTCTGCCACTTGTTAGTCTAATCATTAGGCAGATGACTTCCCCGCTCTGAACCTCAGTTTCCACAACCGTCAAATGAGAGTGGCAATACTACCTCCATTCTGGGGTTGGTGTAAGCTACTACTGCGTGCAAAGCCATTTACATAACCTCTAGCAGCTAGCGAGCACTCCATAAGTGGGAACTATGAAGTTAATGATAAGGAGGCCTGCCAGGGAACAAGAGGGTCTGCGACCCTATGTCTGTAGGAGGAACTGACCATCAGGTCTCATTGCAGGTGGAATGTAAGAAAGCTCAGCCAAAAGAGGTGATGTCGCCGACCGGCTCAGCCCGGGGGAGGTCCCGAGTCATGCCCTATGGAATGGACGCCTTCATGCTGGGCATCGGCATGCTGGGTATGTGCTAGGCCTGCACCTGTGGTTGCTTCCTGCCCGGAACTGCTCCCAGGGCTACCGGTGGTGGGGGCGGGAGGGGGGGGTTGGTGACGCGTAGGTGTCGCATCTCCTCTGTGGTCGGCCCTCCTGTATGAGTCATTGGGCGGGAGTGAGGACCAAGGAGCTCAAGTCTTGGAGCCAACCCAGGGTGGGGTGATTTGGTTATGGGGTGCTGCCCTCTAGTGGT